ATAAAAACTAGTTAGAAAATGAAATAGTTTAAACCTTTCGAGAGTTATATGGTACCAAGCAGTTCGATCGCCAGGCGCAATATAATTAATTGTATGAGTGTTGGTGACCATGCGTGTACCGGACCCAATATTCCAGTGCACCACGATGCGTCTTTCACGCAATTCCATGGCAATAAATTCGGACTCCTGCGTGCGTTTTGCTTTTGTTTTTGTCAAAAATAGCAGCGAATCTGGGACATTGAGAAGTGGACGATATCTGAGCGCGAATACATTACGAGGCGCTAGGTGAGCTGGTGAGACAAAAGCGCGACGGCACACTCCAGCATCATCCGATTTCATCGAAATCCGAATCTGCATAATGAAAAGCATAAATAACAAGAATTATCTATCAAGCATGACGCAGTGCCAAGTAACTCTGCTTCCGTGCTGAAGGTCAGGGGTTCAAAAAATGGAGCACTCTCTTCTCTGCAGACAAATTAGACGGAATCTGAAGGAAAACATCGAAAACTATACTAGTCACCCGATGAAATTGGCAGTTCGAAACGAACATAGCCTGAAGAAACGCCGGAAAGGCTGCTGATACACAATCTCATGATGGCCGAAAATCGATACGGGAATTATACGTAGCAAAAGTTGATTTGCTTCGGTACCATAGAACTTGTGAAAAAAGCTTACACGTGATGCTTTTTCGCGTGCTTCCTTGATTTTCTCCTGCAGCAGTTTAATCTGTTCGCCAAGTGCAACAATTCGTTTTGCATCAACACCCGTCTGCTCTTTCACTTCAGAAACTTTTTTCATCGCTTCTTGGGCTTCCTCATTTGCTTCACGAACTGCAAAGACCGAACTCAATTTCATTGCCTTTTTGCATTTTGATTTTTCATTCAAATATGAGTTCGCTGGTCAAAATAAAGGAGTTGATAACATAAAACTCGTGGTTTCACTTACGGTAATCTACTACATTCACTTCGGATGGTACTTTTTCTTGGGTGCTATTGTCACGCTGCGCTTCTGTCTTCGATACTCGTAATTCCCTTTGCAAAAGAAGTTGTTTGTTTTGAAAATGTAAAAACAGTGCGAAATTAGCTTACCATCATTGGTGACATTTCGAATTCCCTCACCAGCGAAACCTTTCAATTTCGAGACCGCATCACTCATCGTGTTGATTTCAACAATCAGCTCCTGGGCTTTTTGGTTAACTTCTTCGGCTTGTTCTTTTGCATTCGCAGCAACGTTTTTTAGTCCGGACATGCGATCATGTTGGTCGTCAAACGATTGGTACTGGTCACCTGTATGAGGGCGCTCGTATGCAGCAGCAAACGCATGGCAATGAGAAAATTAACACTTCATCAGGGCGAAAGCGGAAGAATGTGAAGCGAGGCCAAGTTGGGTACAGGTTTTAATGTATCTCAGTTAGTTTCCACTATGTTTCTTCATAAGCTTCTATATGCTGGGCTTGAGCCACGCTTCATTAGATTATGATAATTTATAATAACTAGTCTAAGCAGTCAAAATATGATAAGTAATCTAATGAATTATAGTAATAAACATTAACGAATGCAGTAAGAAATAGAAAAAGAAAAGGCACATATCTATTTATATGATTTAAAAATTGGTAGTGGGTGCTAACTGAAGGCATGCAGTTTAATGTCGAAGAACCTAGCACAGCTGTGCTCGACGTATGGAAACATTTAACGACTCTAATTTGGTATACCCGATCTGATGGTCTAAGTAGTTTTGATATTTTAATAGAAATATCTCAAAATGTTTCATACTGATTGATAATTTTTGTTTCCATCCAGCATGCAGCGTTTCGTTGAGTTTACTCATTCTCAACGTCGCATCCAGACGCTCATTTTCCAGGTCTGCCACACTCAGCTCGTCAGCTTGT